ATGATATAATACGCTGAGAATTCCATCTACTGTGTGTGTGTGTGTGTGTAAGTAAGCACATTTTCCAAAAGACAGCTGTTATTAGTATTAACAGTAATGTTGAAAGCTAAACCATATGTTTAAACTAAGGAGAAAAAAAAGTGAATATTGAAAAAGTGCTAACACGATGGAATCCTATTATATTTCAGAACAGAAGGACGACAGAGAGGCAGAGAGAGAGAGAGACACAGAGATATCCAAAATCTACAAGATATACACACCTTCATCTTTTCCGAAGTATTAACTACCTAACTGTCCGCTTGAATGTACACACAAAAAAACGAACAGAATTCTGTAACAAAGGAAAAAACTTTACCGGAATATGCATTTGTGAAAGCCTAATTCATCTTTCCTTATGTCACACAAAGAAAATTTCAGGTTTATCAAAATGTAGATGCAAAAAAAGTATTGATAAAATCAACAATAAATTATTATGGTCTGTTCAGTTTGGACTCAGTATTAAAAAAAGATTATGTACATTTTTACTGACATCAAATAATGAGACGTGAAGCATCTTTCGGCTAGTTCTAATCCAAAGGCTAAATTAACTCAAAAGCGTGAACAAATGCTAAACGATTGATTATCAACCAAAGAATATTCAGGTTTCACCTACAATCTATATGACTGTAATAATTATAGCATGATTGTTATTATTAACAACATTAATGCTCTTCGAAATCATATTCAATCAATAGCGTCGACATATTACGTTTCGGTACACTTCAAAAGAATCAGTAAGCGAAAGAGATCATATGCATCAATACGACAGACAATAGACTGACTGAATACATCAGATAAATTAATGGAAGTAACAGAGAATTTATGAATTTGTACTTTCCACAACAGACCAGGGTAGTATCAGTGGCTGTCTGGACATGTTTCGTGTGCACACAGACTTCTAGCGGATCTAAGCGAACTGCAATGTCCTCCACTGTTTGGAGTGTTGACTGTTTAGAGTCCTTCGGTAATTATATTCGATACCCGATAAATGATAGAGAAACACTATTGAATCCTAGCTAGCTTTGTGACCTGTTTGGACGAGGTGAGCGAATATAGAACTGTTGATGGTTTCAACAGGACCTTACATACTTAACCACACTGATAGGTGTACCCAAGGAACAGCCAATATAACTGGCTCTACAGGGGCAGCTGAATTGACAGATGCAATTTGAGGTGGCTAGCCTAGCTACTTCATCTTTCATTTTCGGAATGACAACCGGTTGTGTAGAGAGTATTTTCCACACCTTATCGGCATTACACGTTTCCTGAATTGATTTTGTGGTGAGAGCTGGCTGTTAGTCAAAATCGGTGGACAGTAATTTACGTCAACGTTTATGTCCCCAATATTGGTCGTGAGAAAAATGAGAACAAATGCTTTGCGAAGGCGGATACAGTTAACATCCTATAGATGATCTGACATTCAAGAAACAGCCACAAAGAGATGCAAGGTTAACTTTGTGTGAGAAGCGACCAATCAGACGACTTTGTGTGTGTCTGCTAACAATAATCAATAATATGTACACTAAAATCTATAAATATGTGTTGATTTCCTTAATAAAGGATCTGTTGACTGACCCTTGTCTTTTGTTGTTACAATTTTCTCAACTTGTTGGTTATTATTTTACTTGGGATATTATCGCCAATGAATTGTCAAAATTATGAATTCATACACGCCTCTACCTCGCTAAGCCACAAATAATTCTGGTAAAGAGGAAAGGTTGGGCATGAGGCTAGAAACCCCATCCTGTAAAACAAATACTGCTACAGAAACTTCAAGCCACTAGCTTGAAGCCCTATGTTCCACTGGGGAACGTGAAGGAAAGAAAAAAAATGAATTCATAACTTCTTTATTACTTCCCTTAATTTATCTGATGTATTCAGTCAGTTCTCTGATTCTCTTACTGAAGCTTTTGAAGTGTAATCACCTATCCATACTATTGATTGAATGTGCGATTTACAACAGAATTGATGGTGTTAATAATAACAATCATTCTATAATTGTCACAGTCATATAAATGAACGTAGACCCTGATGACGAAATGGTCGAAGAGTATACTTCGTCTTGATTATTTCTATTTCCTCACTCACACTAGTGACACTATGACTTACTTTTCATTAGCATCAGTTGGACATTTTGTGACGCCTAATGGACACAATTATTTTAGTATACGCATGTATAAATGTTGATAAAATTAATGTTGAGGATGTCATCACTTAGCTTGATAATAAAATGCTCAAGAAACAATATGAAAGCTCGGTGAACACAGAATGATGATAATACTAATTGCCATCAGTAACCTCTTCTTCATCAGGTTCTTTATGCATATAACAGTAATAATTAATGAATGACTGCTGTCTTTGACAACATTAGTGATGTTTTAAATTGCATTCAATTACCACCTCTAATTGTATCTATCAATTCAGTTGCTCCTATAGAGCCAGTTATATTGGCCATTGCTTTAGGAACTAAATCGCTTATACCTGGGTACACCTATCAGTGTGATTAAGTATCTAAGGTCTTGTTGGAACTATCAGCAGTTCTGTGTTGGATTGCCTCATCCAAGCAGGCCACAAAGCTAGCTAGGATTGAATAGTGTTTCTCTATCATTTATCGGGTATCGAATAGATTACCGAAGGACTCTAGACAGTCAACACTCCAAACAGTGGAGGACATTGCAGTTCGAGGAATTTATCGAAAAAAATATTCTTTTTTCGGCAGCCAGTCTTCTTTATTCTTAATTGGCATTTTCAATGAATATAACCACTAATGCAATTGATTTGACTTTTATTACTCGCTGACAAGATTACTAGTAGTCACTGTAATGTAATTCTGCTAAACACTTATAATGGGACACATTTGTTTTCGTGACAGTGAATAGCTTCGTCATAAGATGCTGATCGGATATTAATAATAAACTATTTTCCATTTGTTTTAGAAAACGTTTTGTGTAATGTCAAGTGGAATCCAGCAAGGAATGACTATATATGGAGATTAAAACTCGGCAGGTGGAATTACGTGACTTAAGTGTGAAAAGTTGTTGATTCAAAACAAAAGCAAGAGAAGATACGTGAAATTGTTTACAGAAAGCCCATAACATATAAGCAATAACAATAAGACTTAGTTTGCAGGGATCTGATTTGTTTCAAGTTTGCCCACAGATTGATATCAGTTAGAGAAGCCACTGCAGATCGTGAAATTATTTGGACAGTTTCACCCTAGTCGATGACTCTTCACAGCACATACACACTACAGGGGCTCGAACTAAAGACCTTCAGGTTCCAAGGCGACTTCGTAGACCATTCAGATGTAGTGAAAGCTGGCTGCAAGACGAAATTGTGGACAACCGTTTACGTCAATTTTCACGTCCCGAATCAGGGTCATAAGAAAAACAACAAAGATTAACCTTGAGAAAATCACCAGCCAATCACAGACGAGTGAACGTGTGGAAATATGATTCACAGATATATGGCTTGATTTTCTGCCGAACGGCCACAAAGAGATAACAGAATAACCTTCATCAAAAAAACAAACAATCAGAAGAGGATGCTTCTCAGCTAACTATATTGTACTTAGAAATCTATAAATAGCCCTTGAGTAATCTGTTGTTTGGCCCTTGTCTTCTGTCGTTACACAGACACTGGGATGCGACTCAATGGCCCATAAATCCTATCTTTCACCAATTTGGTGATTTTATGGCAACCACCAGCCAATGTCAATAGCGATTACCTCTCCTAAATCCCAACTGGAAGATCCCACTTGTCACGAAATCTCACTAAATTTGAAGGCAACTTCGTCCTGTAGTCGTCAGTCACTAGCAAGCGTCAGATTAATTTTCAAGAGTTAGTCTAAAGAGATTTGATCTGCTTCAAGTTTGATCATGGATTGGTAGAAGTTGGAATTAATGGGCCACGAGTTCGGGTCTCGGTGGCTGAATGGCCCACGAGTTCGCCTTGTAACCAGGAGGTCCTGGGTTCCAAACCTAATGGTTGATTACTTTTGATGAGTCCCGAAATAAAAAAAAATAGCTATCCAGTACTCCTTACTAGTTTTCAATGGTTCTCTAACTGATATCAATCCGTAGTCAAACTTGACGTAACAATTATGGAACAATATCAATAAACTAAAAAATCAAACAATAAAAATGAAACAAAATTATGACAATAACATTACCCTCGCCATGATAAGGTGAGTGAGTTCATATACTACTTTTAACACAGGGCACAGATCTGAGGTTCCGATTAGCCAGTGATTCAGTTATGCATAAATGGAGTATTCAAAGTCCTTTCGTGCTATATAGTGAAGCAACCATTCAGTAGTGCCCGACGCCTATAGTTTACAAAGGGTTTGAGGATAGAACAATTGGTATTATTCTTCGTCACCCCTCTGGCTAACCAGACATTTTAATCAACCACCTTGTCCAATCATATTTTCCAGAAGAAGGTTAACCCAGTCATGCCTTAAAGGCAAGATGTCGCTTTGGACTACCTCAATGCGTATTGATCAGTTTTCTTGCTCATGTAGAGCAAACGTATCGGCCACATACACCGTTAATTCCATGTAAAGGTATTTTGTAACACTGTCCAACCTGGTTAGCCAGAGGACAGATGGAGAATATCAGTACTTTTGTCCTTAACCGCCATGTTGTGGGAAGCTGAACTCCTCCACTCTAGTTCGAAGTTCTACGATTAGAATTCAGTCAGTTAGAATTGTAACCCGATGGATATATATCAACAAATCAAGGATGTGTAGAAGTGTTTGAAGAGTCCCAGACTAGGATGAAACTGACCTACAATGCTTCCTGGCTTTCAATGGCTGTTGCACTAGTATCTATTCATAAAGATATATGTGCATATATATGCAAAATTTGACTCAAATACTTTTCTCTTCAGTAAATGTTGAAATTAAACATTCACCTATATTATATAGAAGGCGAATAAAATCAGTAAAAAGGAGAACTTACCTGTGGTGCTTTATATTGAAATCTTTCAATATCATTGTTCAGCTCATCATCCTCTTGTAAAAAGTTATTATTATTTAACTTTTGATTATGCTGACAGATTTCATAAGCAATTGTATATGCTTCGTGTAATCGTTGGAATTCAGCCGTTGCTACCTCTTGTAATTCATCGTTATTCTGGTTATTGTGACTACATTTCTGTTTATTACTACTAGAATTATTGATATTAACATTTTTTGTATCGGGATGCTTATACCGAGCTAGTTTAAGATAAGCTTGTCGGCAATCTTCTGGTGTACTGGATGTTGGTATACCGAGCAGTTCGAATGCCTCTGCAGCTTTGCACGTCAATCTGTTTGAATAATATCGATGAATAATAAACAGTTTGTAATAGATTGAATTATTATTTTGTTTGCATAATAAAAACATTGTTTTTTTTCTCTCTCTTACTAATTTTTGCTTTTGTTTATCGATCACTAGATGCAGAGGAATTGAATAGACGTCAGTGTATGCGAACTGCTGTGATGATTTGAGAAGATAAAAAGGAATTCAGAAAGGAAAGTTATCAGAGAGGCTGAGAAGCCAATATATATATATATATATATATATATATATATATATATATATATATATATATATATATATACGATACAACTTAAGTAAGTCAGGCTTCAAGTTACACTGAATGTGTAGGGGATTTCATCAGTAATAACAAGCAATGCGGATACTGATGTGAAATAAATACATTTGAATCTCTGCTGACTCATCAGATGTGTGTCGAATAACTAAACATAAAACAACAACACTTCCACTGACTGAAAACTGACGGTTATTGGTATATTTCCCTCGGGTTCTGAGTGGACCATGGAGCTTCAATAGGACATCTTCATTTTGTCCTCTTCTCTGCGGTCCTTTTTAGCTGGTTGCACGATTCCACATAGTCTCTCATGTCCTCCTCACACGATCTCCTCTATGTTACTCTCGGACTCACACATCCTAAGTCGTTGTTTCCGATTCGGGTTCCAGTGGAGTGATGGCCAGGCGCATGATGTCAGTCAAGTCCCCATTTTCTCCTACATATCTGTTGAGCGAGAGGTTCTTGACTGGTTCATTCTGAGAGTTGTTGACAGACAGGCGCAGTCTGTTGGCGATTTGAGTGCCGAGTTTCTGAGCCATATAGAAGCACTGAATGACTCAGCATTGGTGTTGAAAATCCAAGTCTTCTTTTCTATGCTGCGGAATGTATAAGATTTCCGAACTGATTTCTGTCTCACCTTTTCAAATCTGGTTTTGACATCCTCATACGTTCTGACTGGCTGTAATTGAAAGGATGCTTCCTATTTCAGTGGAGTAAGTGACCTCTTTCAAATTTCTACGTTGATGGTAGTAGTTGGTTGATGACACAAGACTCCTAATCATTGGTACGTATGGGTCAATAATGCCACGTGAACTGAGACATCATGTGTGTTGGGCCTAAGACGTTAAGTAAACTGCTTTTAATAAAATCAGACAACTTGCTGGCTGCATGCAAAGTTTTAACTGCAGAGTGTAATGTATGGAACAGGTTATATTGAATGAGAAGAGGAATTCTTATCGCACCTTGATGAAAATAGAAGTTAAAACATATATATACATATTATTACCCGTGAGATGCAGCCTGAAGGTTGATGATAATAACAACAGAGACAGTCTTTTTCTACTTCAAGCTACTTCAGCTTATGAAATACACATTACTCTATTTTGATTGGATAATAGTTACTAGCTAGTGTTGTTTATCTCGTCATTTTTTCGCTGCAGACTGAATTCTATTAATCTCGTTTGCAGCGCAGTCAGCATGCTAGGTCGCGTATCATCACGGTGCACTGTGAATTCTTGTTATTATTAGATGGTTGGAGGCAATCACGGGAATTCAGTCTGTACCGTACAAAGGAATAAATACACGACACTAGTAACCATTCAGTATCCAATCAAAATATTCAACACAGTCCTACAGGAGGTTAGTGACGAGCCCGAATAACTTTGTGGTCACATCTCCGACTGCACCACTGAGTGACACGTTTTGAAATCTCAGAAGGGACGAGAATTCCTTTTAGGACTGTAGATAAGCCTTCCTGACTAGTGGTGAGTGTAGACAAGCACGAAACCTAGATGATAGATGGCTTCCTGTCGAGTGCCTATAACCATCTAATAAACATCACTGTGACAAACTAATAACGGCTTTATTGGTATAAGAATAGAATTCGGCCACTGATGGAATGTAATTCCATCCATCTAATCTGATATTACTAAAAATCAAATCGAAGGATAAGAAATAATGAAATTATATAAAATAAGTTAGAAATTTTTCTGAGTGCTATGTCATGTGACTATGAGGAATAAATTACACTTAAATTTGAAAACTCCTAGACGTCCTTATGACTAGAAAAGAAAACGGTCCACTGGTCAGTATACCCAATTTTTAAGCTTCGTGTCTTTGAAATACAAATGCGCTCTGATAAAGTGTTTAGTGTACAGAGAAAAAAGAGTCTGCTCAGATGAATGTTTTAATGAAGAGCGCGATATTATTTAACAGGTACTCAGTCAGAACACTCACTCAAAGAAATTCATCGACAAGAACATGAATATAAAGCCAAGTCAAACCAAAGTACCAACACTTCCGATAAACGCCTTGTTCCTACAAATTCACTTCCTCGGTGATAACACTAGTGAAATAATAACACTATCCTCAGGGAATACCGCCTAACTACACTAACTATCTCTTCCAAACCACCGCTACTTCACGTCCAGGAGTTGAAGATTAACTGACTAATTTTCTCTGTCTTACGTGTATCTATCAGTTGGGCTGCTCATGTGGTGGAATCAGTTACCCAGGACATTCAATTAGGCGTGTTTGTCGTCGGATTTCCGAACACCATCGTGTGTGGTCAAGCAAGAGTCAAACAAAGTGATTCACATTTCTATTCTATCTCATCTCGTGGACACAGAACACAAGATTGATGTTAACAAGACTTTCAAAGTCATCTACCGTGTACCGACTAATCTCCATCCCACCTCAATAGTTCGTCTGTTATATATTGATGAGGCTATCAGAATCCACACTAAGAAGTCTAACCTATGTGTATACAAAAAGCAGCTGGTTTGGAAGCTTTCCGTACCTTGGACATCAAGATTTCACTGACCTTTTGGTTTGATGCATAAATTTTGTTTAATTTTATGTGAATTTCTATTTAGTGTTACATTTTTTATGGTTATTATAATTTGTACATCTTTCTTGAACTGTAACTTCCTCCATTGATCTTAACAAATCGATATTATTGAGAGAAACACCAATGTTGCTAATGACGACTATTCTAGAATATTTTGTACATTTACGGAAGTGAATATTGTCTGCTTGAGCTTTCTTTAGTTTTCTAAATGTCTGAATAGGAAGTTTTTCTATATAGAAATTTGGAGTGATATAATGACTCCTGTATTAAGACACTGGCTGAAAGTTTCGACATGAACATATATATCTTGATATGGGTAAAGGTTAGTAATAAAAAGGAGTGTGTTGCATGTGTACTATTGGAACTCATGAATCCTGAGATCTCTAGTTATATGACAGAAATTAAGTTTCTTCAAACCAATTCGAATTAGTAGTGTTTAATTGTCAGGTTGTAACTACCACCTTCACACACATGAAATTATGCTGTCGAGTCATTATGAAGCTTACTGGTGACATCTTCAACATTAATTTTATCAACATTTATACATGCGTATACTAAAATAATTGTATTCATTAGGCGTCACAAAATGTCCAACTGATGCTAATGTAAAGTAAGTCATGGTGTCACTAGTGTGAGTGAAGAAATAGAAATAATCAAGACGAAGTATACTCTTCGACCATTTCGTCATCAGGGTCTACATTCATTTATATGGCTGTAACAATTATAGCATCAGCTCTGCAAGCTATTTCAAATATATATAATGCATCATATTCTTATTCAAGTTTTGGTGGGAAGTCGTGACCAGTACGGTGCAGAAGGTCGGGTGTGAGGACAAATACTTGTTGAAGACATTGGCTAGGCGTCGCGCTATGTCGTGAATTGGGAGAAGTTAGAATTCATGCATCGGCCATTGGATTGGGTCCCAGTGGTTTAATGGTCTACGAGCTGGCTCGCCTTGTAACCAGAAGGCCCTGGGTTCGAACCCGCGGTGTGGGTGAGTGCTACTGAAGAGTCCCAAAGTGGGACAAACAGCTGTCCAGTATTCCCAGGTTTTCCAATGGTTCTCTAACACATGTCAGCTCATGATGAAAATCCTGTAACCATCATACTTTTATCTAATGACTAGGAGTACTTTGAATTGAAAAGACTGAATAAATCCCATCACTAGGTTTGCTTTCATGTAATGCAGTGGTCAGTTATGTTCACAAGAGTGGTAGAATAATAATAATAATAAAAGTCTGTCGATGGCGACAGATTGCATACTTTGTCGGATGCACCTGTTTCGCCAGTAAGTGATGGTGTTCCCACCGAGACTGGAACCCCTACAGTCATCGTTTCAAACGCCATGATGGTCAGCCACCTAGAATGGTGGCCGAATCGCAAATTTGACTGATACAATTCAGTTTGCAGCAAACAAAGGACACCAATCACTTACTATCTAGTGTTTAAAATATTGTCGAACTTAATGCCTGAAATTGCAAGGGATTACAACAGAATTATGTATTTAGACAAAGCAATAAGAAGAGGTAATTTGTCTGAATCGTGTATTACGTCTTCTTATTGCTTTATCCAAATTCATAAAGGGAACTAATTGTTTTAAATGTTTGAAAAGAATTCTGCGTAATAACCAATAAGCACATAAAACAAGTAACAAACCTTAATTAATTGGGATTTAGTGAATTCACCAAAATTCGGTTGAACTCTTACTGCAGTTAGCTAGTTAGTTATTATTGATTTCCTTAATGTTTTTTTTCTAAAACTTTATATTCAAACTGCTATTTTACACTAGTTAAATTTTGTTCAAACAATAAAAGATAATAATTATGGTGTTTTTTTGTGAATCAAGAGCCCCCTCCTCTCCAAAAAAAAAAATAAACGCAAAATGTATTCATACTATGAACGCTAATCAATCGTTGAGCTTTCATCATTCACCCAATCTATTTTTTATACACCAAATCTCATTAGATTTAAACTAAACCATGACTGAATCGATCATGAAATTAATCAATCGATACTTACAAAAATAGCCATCATGATAACAGAGTTAAGCTAATTATAGTTAACTAGAAATAAATGAATGACATTGGTAGGTAGTATAACTTCAATACCGAAAAATTGAGTTTATGTTAACAAAAAAAAGATTCAATTTTATTTTCTATAGTTTAGTTTGTAAGGATTAGTTATGTTTTACGGGTTGATCACGGATTGATTGGGGGTCGCGCT